GTGGTGTTGGCAGCGGTGATGTGGGCAATGTTGATGAGGTTGTGGGTTGTTAGATATAGTGGTGGATGTGGTTTTGTTGGCGACGGCAGTATGTGGTGGTGGTAGATCTATGCGGTGTGGTGCGGTGTGTGCGTGGCGGTGGTGGTATGTGGTGGCAGTGGCTCTGTGCGATGCTGTGTTGGTGGTGGTGTGCGGTGGTGTTGCGATGTGGGCTGGCGGTGGATCTATGGTGAGGTATGGAGATGGAGAAGATGGTGGTGTGCTGTAGGTGGTGCGGTGAGCGGTAGATCTATGCAGTGTGCGGTGGTGGATCTGTGTTGCAATGGCAGTTGTGATGATGGTAGGGTTAGGGATTTTTTTGGGTTGTAGGATGGGGCTGGTAGAGGTTCGGTGGTGGTGGTGCAGTGATTGTTGGTGGGTAGTAGTGGTCGTGGTGATGTTGATATTTTTTAGATGATGGTTTGCTACCAAGATGTGGTGGTGGTGGTTTCGGCGATTGGGTTTCAGTTGCCATGCTGGTGGTGGTCACAAGTTATTTGGTTGCTTGTGACTATTAAATTGATTATTTTGTAACCGATAAACAACATTCGACTAATGAAAAAGATAAATTGTGACAAAAAAATAATGTGTGACCTAAAAAATTATTAATTTGTGATCGATAATTTGATAATTTGTGACTTATAATATTTGTGATCGATAAATAATATGTGACCTATAAAATTTTGATTCGTGATCGACAAGTAATCTGTGACCTATAAAATATCTTATTTGTGACTGATGCACAAATTGTGACATATAAAATTTTTGAATTGTAACCATAAAATAATTTGTGACGTTTCAATTTTTTATTTGTGACCAATGAACAAATTGTGACCTATAAAAATTTTGAATTGTGACTGTAAAATAATTTGTGACATGTAAAATTTGTGATTTGTGACCAATTATATATAATTTGTGACATTAATATATTTAATTAATAAAATATATGTTTAATTAATTAATTTATAAATAAAATTTTAAAAAATCTGAGATTTGAAATTTTAAACCT